ACCACAGGAGAGGAAATCTGACTACTCCCTTTTTCACAGGCGGCTCCAGCTTTGTGTCGCTAAGCCCAGGCTGGTTCCATAATTCTTTACGACGGGAAAAATGCGTCTTCTTAGAAACTCCAAAATAGGAAAAAAAAAACCAAAAAAAAAACTGTTAGCAGAATTTTCTAATTTAGTATTGGTTTCTTTTCTTTTACTAAAAAGTGTATCTATTCCTAGATTTTATATAGAATATCTGCTACTCTCTGTAAATCGTTTTCTCATTGTGGTTCTCAGAGTCCTGGTGATACTGTGTGTTAGATGTCTGGCTCTTCATTGCAAAGTCAGCAGTTCAAACCTCACCAGTCACTCCAAAGGTGAAAGATGAGACTGTAAGCTTCCATAAGAAGAATTTACAGTATTGGAAACCCTAGAGAGGGTCACAATCAGCCGATTCTGGATGGCAGTGGGTTTGATTTGGGGTTTTCAACGTGCTTCTGCTCAAGTGACTTATGAGCTAGCATGATTTGAAGCATATGACAGTTTCCACAGTGTAAATATTTTCACCACAGCTAATTTCAAATTTCCACTCTGATGCTTATTAGTTGAAATGAGGTGCACACTCTGCCTTCTGAGTTTATGCCGGCTGGCTCCAAGACACACTGCATGAAGTTCTGAGGTCTTAAACCCGGATTCAACCAGCATCCATTTTTAAAATATTCTTTTACTTATTAACTGAAGAATTCTTCTTAATGTTTTATTTGCATAGGAACAGATAGACGTTTGCTGCTATAAACAGTTGGAACAGCAATTGCTCCTATATGAATTATAATCACTGATGAAGGTTTAACAATCAGAGACACACCTTAATTGTCTATAGTAAGATGGGTCACTTCATATAGCAAGTAATATTCATGATATACATTGAATGGAATAGTGAGAGCCACGGACACACCGTGGCAGTTAAAAGTTGTTGTCTCAGCTGGTCAGCCAACAGTCCTTGACCTCAAGGACTTTACGTTGGATATATTTGTTGACTTCTGTTTCCTGTGTATAAAAATAATGAAATGCTTGCTCCAACTCCTACTGCTTTATCACCATCAAAGTGATTTGAAAAGATTTTGTTGCCAAACTTGATTAATTATGGTTTTTAAAAAAAATAATATTTTCATGGATAAGTGGAAAATTTGATAACCCTTCCAAGGTTAATTAAAAGTGAACAGATATATATATAAAATACATGTTAATGATGAATATTTGAATTTCCTAGTCAGAAAGTTAAAGTCCACTCCTTGTAATTTTAATTAAATAAGGAGATTTTTTTTAAGGCTTAGGAAAGTATTTCCTTATATGAAAAACCTCTACCCCATCCACAGCCAATCCTGGGGCTTTGGGGCCTGGCTCAAGGGGAGTCCTCCTGGGACATGGGGGTACAGAGAATGGTGTGACGCTTTGCCTGGGCATGCCTATACTGTAGGGTATGCTGAGCCCCTTTAGGGTTTCCCATATGGGATCCAATGAATTTCTTCCCTTTTGCTTAAAACAAACAAACAAACAAACAACCCCGAGAGGATGATGAGAAAATAAAGGGACAAACAAGACATTGCAAATAAACTCATGGTTGCATAAAAATAATGTTAGTAAAAAATCTGTGGGATAGATATCGAAAAGCACACTCAAACTAAGAAGGAAAACAAACAAACACAAAACCCAAACTCATGGCCATTGAATAGGTTCTGAATCATCATGACCATATCTTAGCAAAGAGAAGTCCAAGATCAAGAGGTAAGTGTTTCACTTTGTGAAGCAAATGTCCTGTTATACCTACTTTGTTTACATAATTGTTATAGCTCCTTTTCATAAAATCATTATTTTCATAAAGTCAATCTTGATTTGTTACCACTCTGTATTATAAGTAGCCCTAGTGGTGTGGGGTGTGGATGTGAAGCATTTGGCTGATGGAAAGGTCAACATTTCAAATGAGAATTTTGAACTGAATCTTCTTGCTTAAGTCATAGTTGAAGAGGAAAAACCAAAGAAAACCCTACATGATAAATTTTGAGTGTCCCAGCATGGTGATCAGGATTAAAAAAACCACTAATCTATCCCTTGCTAGAAATTAATTTTCTTAGAAAACAATATTAGTGTGAGTGTTTGCATGGTCAAATCTTCCAACTAGCACAGTTAAAACAAAGGCGCCAAGTTTGCTTTATTTTGCTCTGTCTTGTTTTTGTGCATATTATCATCTCTGCGTGTCTATCTAGATAAGATAGGGAGAATAAACAAACCTGAGGAGAAAAACACAGGACTGACAGTTCCAGGGGGACATGGCAGAAGGGAAGGGGGGTGGTGGGGGAGGAAGTAGGTGTTAACAAACCCAGGGACAAGGGAACAACAAGTGATCTAAAATCTATGTCAAGGAGGGTGTAGGAGGCCTCATAGGGATTGATCAAGGGCAATGTAACTGAGAGGAATTACTGAAACCCAAATGAAAGCTGAACATGATAGTGGGACAAGAGGAAATTAAAAGTAAATAGAGGCAAGAACTAGGAGGCAAAGGGCATTTACAGAGGTCTAAATACAGACATGTACATACATAAATATATTTATATATGGCAATGGATAAATAGATCTATGTGCATATATTTATAGCTTTAGTATTAAGGTAGTAGATGGACATTGGGCCTCTAATCAAGTACTCCCTCAACACAAGAACACTTTGTTCTATTTACCTGGCATTCCATGGTGCTCACCTTCCCAACACGATAGCTAAATACAAAATGGGTGCATAAGAAAGCTGATGGTGCCCAGCTATCAAAAAATATAACATCTGGGGTCTTAAAGGCTTGAAGATAAACAAGTGGCCATC